GAAAAACAAAAGTAATTTTTGTTTGTGTTGCAAAGACTTTTCCGTTACTAAAAATGATTGCTGGTTAAGGCTACTCTTAGCTCTGTGTGTTGTTCATATTCTCTAGAGGTAGAGCTGGGAGGACACGAGGACTGAAAGTGCATTTTCCTAATTTCTCTAACAACACTGGCACTGTTGGCAGTAATTGGAAGCCACATTTTAAAGTTTTTCAAGGGGCATGTGTCCACATTTGAACATTAGTAGGAAAGGGCAATTGGGTGACTTCAGAGACTCAACTCAGTGACATTTTTCTTGGTGAATTCATTGCAGTACAAGGCTTTGCTCTTGCAAATAGAAAAGTGAAGCAGAAACCAGAAATGTTGTTACTGAGTGCTTGCTGTATGGTAGACATCCAGCTTCCATGGAGCGTGTCCTGTCAATTGCTTCTTCTAGTTCTATTTACAACCCTAGGAGGAGGGGTTCTCATGCTTGGTGGGAAGATAAGGATAGCAATACACACAGCACAAGCCACACCATTTAGTGAAGGAGCCAGGACTAAAGGAATAATAACCACTCCGTGATCTCTGTGAGGGACACTTCTTGAATTCATTCTTAATCCATATATCTATGAGCTAAGCACTGTTACTAGTTCCCAATAATGATGAGGGAAGCTACAGCTTTACCCAAGGCTCTCACCTAGAAAGTATCAGTGCTGGACCAGCCACCCAGATGGTCCCACTTCCTAAATCATTGTCCTAAGCCATCTCTACAAGCCTGGGCAACTGCAAGCCAGTGCCTGGTGCTATGTCCCTGGCAGGCTGGAAATTTAAACCCTTTTCCAGAGTTTCAGCTTATCATCAGGGATGCTGAATCATGCTCACTTTCAAAAGACTACTGTACAGGCCAGAGTATAGCTTAACAGTTTCCAGGGGCGTACCTGACATTCCCATCTGTCTAATCCACATGTCTCCAAGAAGCACATGGAAGTCTGCAAAGAGACGGAATGAGATTAGATCTATGGCTGACTGTTTGATGGCCTCTGTGCCCTATATCCTGGTAGGTCTGCCTCCACAATAACCATGCATTTCTCTCTGTATCTGACAGGCAGTGTTTGCTGGCCTGAGAGAGTAGCCAGACTCTCACAGTATCTGAATGGATGACTAGTCTTTTCAGGCTGTCTCATTCTTTCTTGAGGTTGGTTAATAATGTCAATCAAGCTCCTGTCAATCTGCTTGCCCTGAAAATCATGCTTTGTTTTTGAGATGACTTTCCATGTTCTTACCTTTTGATCCACTACTCAATCACTCAAAAATATTTATGAGCATTTCTGAGCACAATAAGTGGTAGGTATAGGTAGAAGACATTTAGCACAATGGACACAGATAATCAATATGTAAACTAATGAAAACTGAGATTATTGTAGATAGTGACAGTGTAACCATGATTTTGGGCAAAAGACCCTGGTTCCATCAACCCCAAAAGGCTAGGTTTGGCCACCCATGTCAGTATGCCGATTAGAGAGATAAGTAGGCCAATGAGATGGCTCATCAGGTAAAGGGGCTTGCTGCCCAGCTTGATGTTCTGAGTTTGATTCCTGGAACTCAAATGGTGGAAGGAGAGAACTAACTCCTGTGCATACACATGCACATAAATAAATAACTAATAAATAAATGATTTAAAAGAGATGAGGGTAAAAATCAGGAGGGAGTTCACCAATGTAGCCACATTGGGAAAAACGGATAAAGGGATTCAGTGACCTCAACTCTGACTTTGGGGTACTAACAACTCTGATATTTAGGCTTAAATAGAGGAGCTGGAGTAAAGGACAAGAGAGCATACATGGATGTGGTGGTACACACCTTTAATACCAGTGCTTGGGAGGCAGAGGCAGAAGGATCTCTGTGAGATGGAGGCCAGGCTGGTCTACATATCAAGTTTCAGACCAGCTGAGGCTACAGAGAGACCCTGTCTCAAAAAGACAAAAAGAAAACTTGCATAATTCAGCAGTCCTGGTCAAGATGGAGTCCAGCTGATCACTGTCACAGTTCTGGCTCTGCAAGGTGGTCCCAAGAAGTCCTTATTGCTGTGTTGCTTGAGAGGATCTATCTGGCTCCTACAAGATGACTAATTCTGCTCCAGGGTGCAGCTTCCCCCTATTGATAACTCCTTCATCTGAGAGGTGGTCTATCTGGATCCTCAGGTTCTTCTCTTCCTGGAATCCAAGGTGACTGCAGGTTTAGGACAATGACTTATCTCTGTGCATTTCAGCCTTGAAGAGGGATGAGAGAGGTTAGGCAGACAGCCATGCTGAGTGACTGACATGCTTATGGAGTCAAGCAGGAATTGGACCCAAAAGAAAGGAGACAGACATAAAATGAAGGCAGGGATGCCAGGACTTCAACCTGCTTTTATCAATAGTTACCTTGTGGGCCTAAATGAGGAGTCAGTGCTTTTTAAGGAAGAGAAGTTAAATGGCTGTTATAGATGCTGAGAAATGTCAGCAGGGTAGTTAGATTTGAGCACTGGAATGGAGGAGTGTGCTATTTTTAGACAGGGTAGGCAAAGCATACCTGTAGAATCTGACCCAAGCCCTGAATGTGGAGAAGCTAGTTAAGTGAGTGTAATTTTCTATTGATTTTAAGAGCTTGATTCTCAGGACTGGAAAGATGACTCAGTTATTAAGAGCACTCTCTTACAGAGGACCCAGGTTCTGTTCCCAGAACCCAAATGGCAAGTAACAACCATCCATAACTGCCGTTCCAGGGGATTCAATGCCCTCTTCTGGCCTCCTTGGGCATTGAACGCACATAGTATACTTACATACATGCAGACAAAGCACTCAAATACATAAAATAATAATAAATTAAAAAATTTGAAAATAGTTTAATTCTCAGTGGTAGCTCTTCATGTCATATCACTCAAAGTGGAAATTCAGGTCACTCTCATTCATCATCTTGGGGACAGTATGGAATAAGTTAGGCAAGCACAACTATAGTAGTGTTGCTAGTATTGTTTTTTGTTTTTGGAGACTGGGTCTTTATTATAGCCCAGGCTGGCCTCAAACTTGGAACCTTCCTGCCTAAAACTCCTGAGTGTTGGGATCAAAGGGGCACAGAGCAATGTGGCCATAATTTCCAAGCCAAGAATGCTAAACACACTGTCTAACACTCATCATGGCATGAGGAATTATTTGTGATTAAGATTAATTATTTGTGGGCTGGAGAGATGTCTTAGCAGTTAAGACCACTGGCTGTACTTGCAGAGGGCCTGGGTTTGATTCCCTGCACCCTCATGGGCAGCCAACATCTGTCTGTAACTCCAGTTCCAGGGGATCCAGATGCCCTCCTCTGACCTCCATGGGCACTGCACAGCACAAGTACACTTACATACATGCAGGCAATATACTTATACATGGAAAATAAAAATAATAAATAATATATATAAATTTGTTTTTGGTGTTTTTGAGACAGGGTCTCCCTGTAGCCCCAGCTGGCCTGGAAATTCCTATGTAGAGCAGGCTGGTCTGCCTCTGGCTCCCAAGTGCTGGGACTAAAGAGGTATACCACCACACCCAGCCAAATAAAATTTTTTTTAAAGATTAATTATTTGCAATTAAGGCTACCTTGGATTTTCCAAGGCATGTGACTACCATAATTAATAATCTACAGTGGGTTGATCTGGGTCCCTAATTCCAATTCACTGATATTGAATTTGCATTTCTAGCTTCTAAAATGTCAAGTAACAGTTGAGCTTTTGGAATAAGATCTCTAGCATTTAAGAACTTCCCTCTTTTATTCAGTTTAGGTTCTGCGTTCTTCCCTCAGAGCAAAGTCTGAGTTTACATGTTTTGTTTGAAACAGGGCCTTACCTGATGCCCTTGAACTTGCTGTGTAGATCAGGCTAGCCTTGAATTCTCAGAGATCTACCTGCCTCTGCATTCTGAGTGCCACTTTGCCCAGCTAGTCTACTCTCTAAAATTTTGTTTGTATTTATTTCTATTAAAAAATTTTTTTAAATAGTGTATTATTTTTATTTTGTGTGTATGAGTGTATTGCTTGCATGTATATAAGTACACTCATGTCATGCAGTGTCATACAACGCCCACAGAGGACAGAAAAGGGTCTCAGATTCCCTGGAACTGGAGTTAGCCAGTTGTTAGCCACCATGTGGGTGCTAGGATTTGAACCCACATCTTCTGCAAGAGCAGCCAGTACTCTGAACCTCTGAGCCATCTCTCCAGCCCCCTATTTTTAAAATTTTATGTGTGTTTTGCCTGCACATATATAAGTGCATCATGTGTGTGCATGGAGACTAGAAGAGGGCATCAGATTCCCTAGAACTGGAGTTTTGAAGTGTTGTTAGCCATATGTGGGTTCTGGGAACTGAACCTGGGTTCTCAGCAAGAGCAGTCAATGCTCTTAACAGCCGAGCCATCTCTCCAGCCCTATTCTTCCTCCCTCTCCCCTTTCTCCCTCTCCCCTCCCCATCCCCTCCCCCTCCCCCTCCCTCTCTCTCTCCAGTATCTTCCAGGAGCCCCAGCTGACCTGGACTAGCCATGTAGACCAGGCTGGCCTAAGTCTCACAGAGATCCGTCTGCCTCTGCCTCCTGAGTGTTGAGATTAAAGGCATGTGCCACCACGTCCGGCCTATTTCTATTTTTTGACGATTACATACATGTATAGACTGTACTGTGGCCACAGTCACAAGCCCCCATCATCCTCTCTTAATCCTCTGCCTTGCTAACTGACTCACTTCTCTGCTAGTCCCTCTCCATTCTCCATGTCTTTTTTTTCAGTTCGCCATTTTTTTTTAAATACCATCACACATAGACACATATGGACACATAGAAGTCACAACAAATGTTCGCGGGTTTTACCTTAAATTCAGAAATGGTCTTATTTTGAGGCTCTTGGCTGACGGCGCCCAACTAAGTTCCAAGCTGCTGACCATCCTCCCGGCGCACGGTGGCGCAGTAGGAATCCCGCGCGGTGAGACGAGCGGCTGCAGGCCGTCTCGGCCGGGGAGGGCCCCGCTCCCAGAATGCACCTTGTATCAACACAGCGGCGGTGGCTTCTTCCAGAAGCACCGGGCGTCTGGCGGAGCGGCGCGCGGTGCGAGAGCTGTCACGCGGATCGGGGAGTTGAGGGGCAACTGCAGCCATGGCGGAGTCGGCGCCTGCTCGGGTGAGACGCGCGGCGGGGCCCTGAGGCGGCAAGGGGCAGTGCCCTGGCCCGGGCGCGGCTTGGGGGATTAGGTTGGGGGCTCTCGTCCCTGGGAGCTGTCGGCGCTGGCGGACGCCCTCCATCCTCCCCGCGGCCTGAGTTCTCTGCCGCGCCTTCCCGCAGTAACTTTTGCGCACCCAGGTCGCAGTTTATGACCGCGCCCGGAAGGGACTCAGCTTCGGCGCGATGGCGCGGGGTCGGCCCTTGGCTTCCGTCGCTACCTCTGCGTCCAGCAGGACCTGCGGGGAGGTCCCGCCTGCGCGTTCTGGTCTGACTGGTGGCGCGTTGTTGCGCCACTTTCCGCTGCCGATTCTGTGATGAGTTTGCAGTCACAGGTTGAAGCCAGGCGGGACCGCCTCTCCTTGACAGGTGTAGTTGCTGAATTTTGTTTACCAAGCTGTAGGTGCTCACTCTTCCTCCCCTTCCACCTCTCCCAACACCTCCATTCAGGGAACGTGAAGACTGAAAATTGGTAATTGTTTTAAGGAATGTCCTGATAGTTGAGTTGCATTTAATCGATCACCTATTCAGTAGATGGTTTTAGGTACCTTAGACCTTTGTTTCCTTAACTTGAAATGGGTGTTGGGTTAGTTGCCAGAGTGTTTCTAAGGTTCTTTGTAGTTCCTATATTCTCATACTTTGCAAAGTAACGGTTAACTTAGAAAAAGGATAGGCTAGATGGAACTGAATACTGAATTGACTTTTTTTTCTTTTCTTTTCTTTTTATTTTTTTAAACAGCACAAGCTGGCCTCAAACTCATGATAGTCTTCCTGACTCAGCCTTCCCAGGGCTGGAATTACAGGTGTAAAGCACTAGGCCTCTTTGGTTTTGTTTTGGTTTTTTTCGGCACTGTCTCCTGGACCCTAGCCTAGCTTCAAAGTTGCAGTGTAGCAAAGGATAACTTTAAACTCCTGAACCTCCTGTCTCTTGACTCCTAAGTGCAGAGATTACAGGCATAAGCTACCTTTTTTTCTTGCATTTGTTTGTTTGTCTTTTGATACCAGGTCTTGCTTTGTAGTCCTGGCTGGCCCTGAACTTGCTGCAATCCTGCCTTGATGGAGGGATCACAGGCATGCACCTGGCTTCTGAATTAAGTTTTTATGCAGCTTTTTGGGTCCAGAAACACTTTGGGGATCCTGAGAGATCTTTTGTTTAAAGAAAAAGGAGAGCTAAAGAAATCTGTATTGAGAACTTTACCTCGGAGTGGGGGGCACTGCATTTGGTTTTTGTTGGAAGTAGATAAGAATTAAGTAGGGATGGACTGGACATCTTATAGTGTTAACTTTCAAGGAAGGTTATAATTAAATTGGGAAAACAAGACACAAGTGTATACAGTGTTTTCTCCACCTGACTTAAGAGGCACAGATCCATCCTTTAAAGGCTTAGTTTGTCCCAGCTGGAGGGATGGCTCAAAGGTTAAGAGCATTAGCTCTCTTGCAGAGGACCTTGGTTCATTTCCCAGCACCCATATGAAAGCTAGCAAAGGTCTGTAACTACAGTTCCAGGAGATCTCGTACCCTTTTCTGCCCTCTGAGGACACTGCACACATGGGTGCACTTATATTCATGCAGGCAAGACATTCATCATACACATAAAAAATTATTTTTAAAAAAAGACTTAGTTTTGGGGCTGGAGAGATGGCTCAGTGGTTAAGAACACTGGTGGTTCTTGCAGAAGACCCGGGTTCGAATCCCAGCACCCACATGGCAGCTAACACCTGTTCATAACTCCAGTCCCAGGGGATCCAACAGCCTCCTCTGACCTCCGTGGGCATTGCACGACATGGGTGCACTTACCTACATGCAGGCAATACATGCATACACATAAATTAAAAATAATAAATAATAATAAAAAAAGACTTAGTTTTTCTTCTAGATTAAATTAGCATTAGAGTGGGAAGGAAGACCAACAGACTCCTTTCTTTCTGGTCATTTCACTGTTAGTTATGTGTCATTAACAGACCGTGTTAAGAAATGATGAAGGTCCTCCAAAATCTCATACTACACTTGAACTTATTTTTGTCATTGTAGAACTTATTTAAATTCTTTTTTTTTTTTTTTTTTAAGACAGAGTCCTCCTGTAGCCCCAGCTACATAGACCATGCTGGCCTCTATCTCATAGAGATCCGCCTTCCTCTGCCTCCTGAGTACTGGGATTACTATACTACTGGCATGTGCCACCACTCCCTGCTGAAATGATTCTTGAACATATTTCTATTCTCATGCATATCTTCAGGTAAGGATCCTGTACCTCTAGGCCAAATAGATGTCCTGATGAAAACAGCTAGAAATACCAAGAAAAACTATGTAGCTGATATTTGTATATCATTTTCTGTATAGTAATTAAAACTTTTGTGTATAGTAATTAAAAACAAGTATAATAAAGAATGTGTAAAAGCCAAAAAAATGAAGTGAAAGAACAAACTCTAGATATGAATAGACTTGTGAAGCCAAGTTTGAGAGCATTTGCTGAGCATTCATTTTTGGGGATTATGGAATCAAGGGACCTAGTGATTCCATAAATGTGAGAGTTTACAAGTCAACACACTAAGCTAAAACAGCACTGAGCTAAAAGCAAACTCTTATTCATAGGTGACTAGAAAACAAAATGTATCCAGCCTTGGCACCGAGAGATGAGTCTGAGGTCCCCTTAGAGAATTCCTGGTGATCTTTGTGTGGTTTTGTTGCCTGAATGGTCCAAGAAACTTCATGCCAAGAGGTGTTTAAAGTGAGCGCCCAACTGTCTATAAAAAATAAACGCAAATATTTTCCGGGGGAATTTACTATTTTTTCATACTTTAATTCTCATAAAGTTCTTAGAAATGTCTATAATTTAAAAAGTTATCAAATAAGAAAATCCACAAAGAAAGCCTAGTAAATAATAGTGGTCAATAAAATTAGACTCTCAAAAACTAAAAGAATTGAAATTATCAAACAAATTTGAGTAAGAATTAAATAAAACTTGAAAGAATGAAAAATATCACTAAACTTCAAAAGGCAGGCTGGATGTGGTGGCACATGCCTTTAATCCCAGGACTCGGGAGGCAGAGGCAGGTGGATCTCTGTGAGGTCAAGGGCAGCCTTGTCTATATAGTGAGTTCTAGGCCAGGAAAGATTTCGTAGGGAGACCCTGGCTCCAAAAATAAAGGGGGTGGGGGAAGCCAGGCATGGTGGTGCATGTCTTTAATCCTAGCACTTGGGAGGCAGAAGTAGTTGGATCTCTGTGAGTTCGAGGCCAGCCTGGTCTACATATTGAGTTCCAGGCCAGCTGGGGCTACAGGGAGACCCTGTCTCAAAAAGACCAACGAAAGGGGTGAGGGGCAGGACTGGAGAGATGGCTCAGTGGTTAAGAGCACTGGCTACTCTTGCACAAAACCCAGGTTCCCAACACTCACATGTCAGCTAACAACCATCCATAATTCCAGTTCCAGGGGATCCAATGTCCTTTTGTGACCTCTGGGCATTGCACAACAGGGGTGCACTTTCATACATGCAAGGAATATACTGATACACATAGAATTTTAAAAAATACTTTAAAAGAAAACAAAAGGCAATAATTTATTCTGGAGTTAAAAATAAATTACATTGATGTAATTGATGTAGAAGTTAGGAAGAAGAGGTCAAAATTCAGTTTAGTGGTCTTTGTAAATGTGCTTTCTATAATTTCTAGGAAAATTGCTAAAAGACTAGAAATAAGTCATTTGCAATAAATATAATTGCATTACAAAGAAAAGATTGTCAGGATGGGGGAAAAATCCAACGTTAATGGTTTATAAGAGATACACCTAAGGTAAGTATAAAAATGATAAAATATAAAGGATCTGAGAACAGTTTTCCAGGACAATACAGATTAAAGACAGAGCCTCAAAATATAATTAAAAATAGAATGATAAGGAGAATTCATCATTATAGGATATTCTAATATAACCTTAGTATTTTATCTAGCAGAAAAAAAGTACTAAGGGTGTTGTATGAACAGGAGAATTCTTGGAGAGGATGGAGACAGTCTGCTCTGCTCACTGCAGTCTTGCTTGGTTACACAGGCATTCGAGCCTTTGAAAATGTAGCACATACGACCAACAAAACGAATTCTAAATTTTATTTTAATTTAGCTGGACATGGTGACTCATGCCTGTAATCCCAGCTCCTGGGAGACAGAGGCAGGAGTTTGAGGTCCACCTGGTTTACATAGCAAACTCCAAGCCAGCCAGAGCTTCATAGTGAGAACTTGTCTCAAAAACAGACCAACAGATTAAAGGAAAACTTAAATTGAATTGATTAAAATTTAAGTAGGCACATGTGACTAGTGGCTGTTGGAAACACAAGTCTAAATTTTTTTAATGTGTGTGTCCATGTGGATATATGTGCATATATGAATGCAGTACCCATGGAGGCCAGAAGAGGGTGCTGGATCCCCTGAACTGGAGTTAAGGATGCTTGTTAGCCACCACGTGGAACCAAATCTCTGCAAGAGCAGCTACTGCTCTTAACTGCTGAGCCACCTCTCTGGCCCCATAATGATTTTTTTAAAGAAATGGAAATAACGGTTTTTAAAAATTTTTTTTAAAAACTATTTTTGTTATTTTATTTTTATGTGTATGAGTGTATTGCCTGCATGTGTGTAAGTGTACCCACACCGTGTAATGCCCGTGGAGGTCAGAAGAAGGTGTCGGATCCCCTGGAACTGGAGTTATGGACGATTGTCAGCTGCCAGGTGTGTGCTGGGAATTGAACCCGGGTCCTCTGCAAGAACAGTCAGTGCTCTTAACCACTGAGCCATCTCTCCAGCCCCAGAAATGGAAATAAAACAGTTTTAAAATTACAGTTCTATGTTTATTTTGTAGGTGTATTTATGCATGTGTGCTCATGTTTGCCAGGCATGTGTGTGGAGTTCAGAGCACAACTTGAAGGACGGTTCTCCCCCTACCGTGTGAGTTTCAGGGATTGAACTCAGGTTTTCAGGCTTGGCAATAAGTGCTTTTACTCTCTGAGCCATCTTCCAGCACAAGACAATTTATTTGGGTCCTTTGGAAGAACAGCAAGTACTCAGCCACTGAGCCATCTCTTCAGCACTAAGTCTTTTTTTTTTTGTCTTTTTGAGACAGGGTCTCCCTGTAGCCCCAGCTGGCCTGCAACTCACTGTGTAGACCAGGTTGGCCTCAAACTCACAGAAATCCACCTGCCTCTGCCTCCCGAGTGCTGGGACTAAAGGCGTGTTCCACTCCTGAGTGCTGGAATTAAAGGCCTGCAGTGCCACACCTAGCCCCTAGTAAAGAAAGTTATTTTGTTCTGTTTTATTTTGTGTTTGAGAAAGGGTCTCATTGTGCAGCCCTAGCTGGCCCAGAACTCACTGTGTTTATAAACCAGGCTGACTCTGAATTTGCCATGTAGATTAAACTGACTTTGAATTTACAAAGATCAGCCTCCCCAGTGCTGGGATTGAAGTCATATACCCAATATATCCTTTGCTAAGGTTGCCAGTATTATTCTGTATTTCTTAGGGAGGCTTTTGAAAGTATCAGTTTGCCACGTTATCGTCAACTCTGAATGTTACTCCTCGCCATTCTCTTTCATGTTTCTCAAATTTGTTGGGTGAAAAGTGTTTTGTTTCACTTGAGTGTGACTGGCATTATTGACTGTAAGGCAGAGGAGGGGTTATTCTTCTGCTCATACCAGTGCCTAGTGCCCTGTCTGCAAAAAGTGCTAGCAATCAGCAAATTACCAGGCCATGGGAAGGAAAGCGGAAACTTGAAAGCCAGTGACTTAGACGCAGTTAAAAGCAAAACAAGTATGAAATTAATTTATACAGTCAAATTGAGCTTTGTTTAATTAGTGCTATTTATACAAGCTTTCCTTAGCTAAGTATGGTGGCTTATACTCAACCAGCACTTGGAAAGCTGAGACAGGAGAGTCACAGCAACTTTGAGACTAGCCTGGGCTACAGACAGAATGAGACTCTGCCTTAAACAAGATGAACTAAAGCTTTTCAAATATTTTTAGGGGAGACGTGTAAACTTTTGTGCTATGTGTTCCAAATGAATCATCAGAGTAGGTTATGGCTAACCTTCTGTTTAGTTTGTGGGAGCCAGTTCGGTTTCTTCAGACTATGACCTCCAGCCCCAGCAGTTTTTAGGAAGATTTCCTCTCCGTGTCTTGGTCTCAATGTACTGTGGTTAGAGAGTATAGCCTCTTTAACCTGGAATAATGTGTGCACCATGTAAGAGTTTGAGGCTATGAGGTTTCAGGACTGAAATGAGCACTCAGTGACACAGTAGCTTTGGGAAGACTTGCCCAGTGCTGGGTTTAGAAAATTTTGAGCTTCACTGACAGTGATTTCCTGCTGTCAAGGACAGACCTTAAAAATGAGAATTGTAAGGGAAACATCAGTAGGCTCAAGTCATTTCAGCAAATGCTCATTAAGGATTTGGTGTATGTTATTCACTGTACCAGCTACTGAGGTACAAGGAGTGAGTTAGGGCTTACAGGTCCTCCAAAGGAATTGTTTTCTATGGTAGGGCATCACTGAAAGGTTTCCAGCAAGGGGGACAAGATCAACCATGACATCTAGCAAGGATGAGGAAGCAAAGTGGGTATAAATGGCATCATGTAGTCCAAATAGAAATTGGTTTTTAAAATTCCAGCATGGTGATCCATGCATGTAATCCCAGCACTTGGTAGGTAGAGGCAGGAGGATAAGGGGTTAAAGGTCATCCTCAGCTACAAAGTGAATTTGAGGCCAGTCTGAACTACATGAGACCCTGTCTTAACCTCCCCCAAACCACAAGAAATCTTCCTCTTACACTAGAAAGTCTCATAAAATATGTGAAGTATAAAATATAGGCAACAAAACATGTATAACAGGATTTGTTGAAAAAGAAGTTGGGGCTGGAAAGATGGCTTAATGGTTAAGAGCACTGGCTACTCTTGCATAGGACCTGGGTTCAAATCCCAACACCCACATGACAGCTAACAACCATCTATAACTCTAGTTCCAGGGATCCGACGCCCTCTTCTGACCTCCGAGGCATTGCATGACACAGGTGCACTTACACACATGCAGGCAATACACATATAACTTTCTTTTTCTTCTCTCTTCCTTTACCTCCCTCCATTTAAATTTTTTTTTTAATTTTTATTTTATGTGTATGAGTGCTTTGCCTACGTGTGTGTGTGTGTGTACACCCATCTCATACAGTGCCCACAGAAGCCAGAAGAGGGCATTGGATCCCTTGGAACTGGAGCTATGGATGGTGGTTAGCTGCCATGTGGATGCTAGGAACTAAACCCAGGTCCTCTGCAAGAGCAGCCAGTGCTCTTAAACTTTGAGCTATCTCTCCGGTCCCTCTGCCTTCCTTTTTTTCGAGACAGGATGCCATGTAAGCCATGTTGGCCTTGAGCTTGCTTTGTCATAGAGGATGACCTTGAACTTCTGATCTGTCTGCCTTTATCTCCCAAGTGTTGGGATTACAGGCATGCATCAAGGTTTATGTGGTCCTGGGGATTGAACTCAGAACCCTGTGCGTGCTAGTTAAGTATTCAACCAGTAGAGCTGCATACCTAGTCCCACTTGTAATTTTCAGTATCAAAATGAAAAAGAACATTTTGCACACCTTTAATCTCAGCACTCAGGAGGCAGAGGCAAGAGGATTTCTATGAGTGCCAGGCAAGCTTGGTCTACATAGCAAGTTCCAGGGTAGCCAGGGCTGCATAGTGAGACCCTGTTTCAAAACAACCAACTAACCCTCAAAGGAACATTTGTGTGTATTATTTTGTTTGGAAGAAGCTAGGTAGCCCTGAGTCCTTCTGGATGTGGACATGCTTTCATTACTTGATGTTTGGAAATGACATTGTCTGACTCTGTCTTCAATCCTATAGCACAGGAGAAAACGGCGCTCCACACCTTTAGCTTCTACACCACCTTCACAAACAACAGAAAAAAGTCCATATTTTCAGACCACAGAAGTCTCACTCTGGACAGTGGTGGCTGCTATTCAGGCTGTGGAGAAGAAGATGGAATCCCAGGCTGCCCGGCTACAGAGCCTAGAGGGACGAGCAGGGACAGCTGAGAAGAAGCTGGCTGACTTTGAGAAGACAGCTGTGGAGTTTGGCAACCAGCTGGAGGGCAAGTGGACGGTGCTGGGGACCCTGCTGCAGGAGTACGGGCTGCTGCAGCGGCGGCTAGAAAATGTGGAGAACCTACTGCGCAACAGGAACTTCTGGGTCCTGCGGCTGCCTCCTGGCAGCAAGGGCGAGGTCCCCAAGGTAGTCCCTCTAAGGATTAAAAGTTAGGCAAGAAGGGGAGCCCAGCCCTGGATTAGCCAAAATCCTAATCCCTGGCTTGTTCTCACGGCTGTGAGTTGAAGTGCTTCTTGTTTGCCATTTATAATTGCAGGTGTCTAGGTCCCTTGAGAATGATGGGGTCTGTTTCTCCGAGCAGGAGTGGGAGAACCTGGAGGACTGGCAGAAGGAGCTCTACAGAAATGTCATGGAGAGCAACTATGAGACACTGGTCTCTCTGAGTGGGTAGCATTTCTCCCTAGACTTCTCCTCTGAACCCTGTAGTTCCTGGCTAGTGGCTAGGGCTTCTGATTGTGCCTGTGACTCTGGCTGGATCACTCTGGTCCTCTATGGTCCTGTGCTGGGAGGAGGAATGAGAATCCCTAGGTCTTTTCACCTTCAGAGACTTTGGGAATACTTTCAGGAATGTGCCTTTTATATTCTCTGTGATCACACAGTCACTTCTTCAGAATATTGGCTGATAGATTCGATTATATCATTGCTGAAGTGCAGTATAGCTGTTTAATAATACAGCTGTGAATGTTATTTTTGGTATTTAAGATTATTTGATAAGAAATTTTGTAACTTGGGGGCTGGTGAGGTGGTTGAGTGGTTAAAAGAGCTTCCTGTCAAGCCTGATGACTTGAATTCAAGTCCCAGAACCCCTGATGGAAGGAGCGAAACAACTCCCAAAAGTTGTCCTCTGACCTCTACCATACTGTGGGACATATGCACTCACACGCACAAATAATAAAATTTTTGTAAAAGGGAGAATTAGCTGGGCATAATGGTGTACATCTTTAATCCCAGCACTTGGAGGCAGAGGCAGGAGGATCTCTGTGAGATCAAGGCCAGCCTGGTCTACATAGCAAGTTCCAGGCCAGCTGGGGCTACCAGGAGACCCTGTCTCAAAAGATGAAAGATGATAGATAGATAGATAGATAGATAGATAGATAGATAGATAGATAGATAGATAGATAATGGTGGGGGGAATAGTAACGTTGGGATCAGGCAGACAGCACAGGTTGACAAAAATGTTTTTCTTGGCAGTTAGCCAGAGTCATAGCTAGTATCTATAATCTCCATGTTTATAGTGCAGTCTAGAAGTACTAGCTGTATAAATGCCTTATGTGACTATTTTGGCAGATGTTTAAAATTTTTATTTTTATTTTTTGGTGTTTTTGAGACCTGTAGCCCCAGCTGGCTTCTAACTCACTGTGTGGACCGGGTTGACTTTGATCTCACAGAGATCTGCCTGCCTGAGTGCTGGGATTAAAGCCATGTGCCACCACACCCAACATACGGATAAAAAATCTTTTAAATTTATTTTACATGTATGAGTGTATTGCCTGCGTGTATATGAGTGCACCTGTGTCCTGCAATGCCGCAGAAATCAGAAGAGGGCTTTGGATTTCCCTGGAACTGGAGTTAAGGATGGTTCGTAGCCACCATGTGGGTGGTAGGAATCGAACCCCAGTCCTCTGCAAGAGCAGTTAGTGCTCTTAACGGCTGAGCCATCTCTCTAGCCCCACAGATAAAATTTTTTTAAATGTAGGTCCATGAAGAAATATCATATATCTAGCTGGACCAGAGTGAGGGTTCAGGAAGTCATAGTGGGTCAGAGAGTGACTATGTGACTTCATCTGAGTCAATGCTGTCCTTGGGGCTGTTTCCATGTGTCCTCCCTTACCTGGCAGGGTCTCAGCAGGGATGAAATTGGGCACTGTGAAGGGAGTCCTTGGCAGCACTTGAGCTGTGTGGGCAGTGGGTGGTGCTGGGTGGCATGCTGGGGTTTGAGCCTGAGGGCCCTACACGAGCAGCGGAGCAGCAGCCAGCCAATGCAGTCATTCCAATGAGTCAGCAGTGTCTGGGAAAAGTGGCAACAGCATTAGCCCTTCCAACTGTTGAAGTTTTAGTATTGACTCCCTGGCACCAGTCACTTTGTTCATCAGCATCTGACCAGCATGTGGTGTGATTTTACTGGATTCACAGTGTGTCTTTTCCAACCCAGAGGTGCTTGGCCAGCCAGAGGAAGAAACGGAATTGGGTGCAGAGATGCTGGGTGACTTGGAGGAAGAAGGTCCTCATGGTACTCACTTGGGTGAGTGGCTCCAGAATATTTTGTCTTGCTCCCTCAGCTCTACCCCGCAGGTCCCTGCAGTTTATAAGAGCCTTCCCATTGATGAACTGCCAAATAATATCAGTAATCTCATCTGGCATGTGCAGGTTGTGGACTCCTTTTTGTTTATTTTTGAGACAAGGTCTTACTAGTTAGTCCAAGCTCACCTGGACTTGCTGTGTAACTCTGGCTGTCCTCGAACTTGTGATCTGAATTCCACCTCCTGAGAAGGATTTCAACTGTGAGCCTCCACGCCTGGATTAGATGTCCTTGTGATTTGCATTAGAGCTGTCATATATGTTTAACTCCTACCACTCTTTAGAGTCCTTCAGACTATGCATCACACTTTTTCAGGTCTAGACAGTAGGTATAAGAGGGTACAGCCAGGGGCTGCAGAGATGGCTCAGAGGTTAAGAACACTGGTTGTTCTTGTAGAAGACCTGGGTTCAAATCCCGGCACCCACATGGCAGCTAACAACTGTCTGTAACTCCAGTCCCAGGGGATCTGACAGCCTCCTCTGCAGGCATTGTACGACACGGGTGCACTTAACTACATGCAGGCAATACAGGCATACCATAAAATAAAATTTTTTTTTTTTTTTTGGTCTTTTTGAGACAGGGTCTCCCTGTAGCCCCAGCTGTCCTGGAACTCACTATGTAGACCAGGCTGGCTTTGAACTCACAGAGATCCGCCTGCCTCTGCCTCATGAGTGCTGGGACTAAAGGTGTGTGCCACCATGCCTGGCAGAATAAATTTTTTTTTTAAGTTTAAAAAAAATGGTTGTGGCCAGAGCTGAAGATGGAGGTTGGGCAGTGAGTAGTGAGTCACAGGGTCAAGAGAGAAGGAAATGTAAGAAAGACATTTGAACAGACTTCAATCACTTAATCTTCCCCTCACCCCCTACTTGTGATTGAATGAATGGCATTGTACATGGTAGGCAAATATTCTACCACTGAGTTTTATCTCTAGCCTTTTTTTTTTAAACTTAAATAAATTGATAATAGGGTGCTGGAGAGATGGCTCAGCGGTTAAGAGCACTGATTGCTCTTACAGAGGACCTGGGTTTGATTACCAGCACCCACATGGCAGCTACAAACCATCCTTAACTCCAATTCCAGGGGATTCTGAAGCCCTCTTCTGACCTCCGGAATTGCATGACATGGGTGCATTCACATACATGCAGGCAATACACCCATATACATAAAATTAAAATAATAAATAAAATATTTTTAAAAATTGATAATAAAATATTAAAAAGAAAAAAATGGGCTGAAGAGATGGCTCTGCAGTTAAGAGCACTGGCTGCTCTTGCAGAGGACTGGGGTTCACCCTAGCACCCACATGGTGGCTAACAATCATCTGTAACTCCAGTTTCAGGGAAATCTAACACCCTCTTCTGACCTCCTCAGGGATTGCATGACACAGGTGCACTTACATGCATGCAGGCCATACACTCATATACTTAAAAATATTTTTTTTAATTGAGACAGGGTCTCACTGAGTTGCCTAGGCTGGCTTTGAACTTTTCTATAGCTTAGGCGGGTTCTTGTGATCCTCTTGCCTCGTTTTCCTGAGTAGCTGAGACTACAGACTAGTACCACTAGGCCCAGCTTGAAGTTTTGTTATTTTAACGGTTTTGAATTAATCAGTGGTTACAGTGTATTATGTCATTTTTCATAGTGATTAAATACCAGTTTCTAGACACGTTTGGAGAAGTATCATAATATTGTCCTGTAAGAGTAATATATTCAGGTTTCTAGTCACATCTTGGAATTCAGTCAAGTCTGGTCCTCTTCCAGATTGCTATAATTCAGTTGATCCTGGGGAGCTTTGATTTGGACCTTCTGAAATGCTCGTGTTTGGCTCCAGAGATACCGAAAGTGCTGGAATGTGATTTTGTTGGTCTCTTTCCTTGCAGCAGACGGGGCCATGGTTAAGCAAGAGGTGCTATACAAGCAGGAGGGCTCTGCAGGTCTTCCCAGCGTATTCTCTGGTGCTACTGAACAGCAGGCTTTCTTGGGCCCAGAGCAGACTGTGCTCTGGGATAGTCAGGGAGATTCTGCGCTCTTGGAATCAGGCCCCGGGGACTCTAACCTTGAGGATCCCATTGAGACCAGTAGAGACCCTGCCTCTGGTAGAACTCTGGACTGCCCCCGCAAACAGAGGTCCCACCGGCAAGTACAGTTGGGTCAGGAGTGTGGTCAGGGTCTGAAGGTGAAAAGGGACACCAACCCCTATGAATGTTCTGAGTGCCAGATCAGCTTCCGCTATAAACAGCAGCTGACTACACATCTGCAGAGCCACTCTGGCTGGGAGTCCTACTCCACCTCAGAACCAGAGGAGAGCCTTAGGCCCAGGCCACGGCTGAAACCACAGGCCAAAAAGGTGAAGTTGCATCAGTGTGATGTGTGCCAGAGGAGCTTCAGCTGCAAGGTCAGCCTAGTGACACACCAGCGCTGCCACCCGCAGGAGGGCCCCAGCACCAGCCCACGTGTCCAGGAGAGGTTCTCACCTAACAGCCTAGTTGCCCTGCCAGGTCACATCCCTTGGAAGAAAAGCCGGAGTTCTCTCATCTGTGGGTACTGTGGCAAAAGCTTCAGCCACCCATCTGACCTAGTGCGGCACCAGCGCATCCACACAGGTGAGCGGCCCTACAGCTGCCCTGAGTGTGAGAAGAGCTTTGTCCAGAAGCAACACCTTCTGCAGCACCAGAAAATCCACCAGCGGGAGCGGGGTGGGCTGCCTGCAGAGTCTGGAAGACCCAACGGGCTGCTTTAAGGATGCCAGCCCCTCACCGTCCGGGGGCGGAGGGGGGTGGCATCAGTTCCCCGAAGAGTCATCACGCAAAGCCAGACTTCCTGAGGAGAGTTGCTTCTGATTTGTGTCCCTTGGCCAAGTACCAGGCCAAACAAAGACTAAACTGAGAAACGTGTGGGAGAAGAGGGATCTGGGGTCTGGCCGCTCCCTGCCATTTTGACCTGGTTGTCCCATCTTTCTGCTGCACTAGGGTTGACACACCACAGGTACTGGTGGTCAGCTCCAGGACCTGTCCTAGTATTTTACTCATGTCTTCCCATGGTTGAATTGGGCCACAGAGGTGAGCAAGTGTCTGGAAGAGTTCTGGGAAGTATAACCCTCCACATCCCCTTTTTTTGTAGTCTCTTTGTTAATAACAAATAGAAATAATTTAAATGAACTGCTTATCCTGCTCTGAAGACCCTTTTTTGAAGTTAGGTTCTTGTTGGTTTTTTAAATATAGCTCAAAACTTGTTTTTTAAATTTCAAGAGTTGTAGTTGTTCCTAAGATGGGAACTGGGCCTACCCTCTAGGAGGGAATCGTTTATGGGGCTCTTTTAGCCCACCCACACTTAAGTTAGGCCAGAGAGCTAAGACACACTGCTGGGTTCCCTTTCGTGGGGGTGCTGCATGCGTGCGTGCTCTCAAATGGGGCTATTTGTCTCAGGAGGACCAAGAGGAAGAGGAGACCCCAAAGCCCCTGTTGAAAGTAAAGACTTATTCAAAGAAGCCAAGAACTGGGTTCTGGGAGTGTGGGCTCTCACCACACCCTCTCTTTCTCCAGCCCCTGTCCTTGCTGTGGTTCTGTAGCCTGAGGGGGTGGAAGACTCCTCTTGTTACTTGAGGTCATTCAGCTTATGCTAGTAGCTATTTGATTTTGATCCTATTACAGCAGTCATCATTTGTTCAGATTAGATTTTTCTACTGTCTGTCCCAGAGATGGAGAAAAAGCACAGATGCCTGTCTCAGGAGTGCTGAGTTCCTGCCCCACTGTTATTTGGGGAGGTGGGAGTGGGCTCCTTGGTCATATGTAAATGTCCCTTCGGATGATTTACAGTTGCCTAGAATAAAACTTGCTACTTGTGAAAAACAAAAACAAAAACATACACACATATGGGATATTTTTCTCTGTTTGTCGAGACTACTTATCCTGGTAAGCTCTCTGTGGCTGTGATAAAACACTCCAAAAACCATTTGTGGAAAGGGTTGTTTGGCTCACATGTCCTGGTCTCGGTTTGTCATTGAGGGAAGCCAAGGCAGGAACTTAAGCATGGACCACAGAGGAGCTCCTCTGGCCTGCTTGCTTCTGTAACCCTAGGACCACCTGCCCAGGGCTGGTACTTCACAGTAGGCTGGGCTCTCCCATATCAATTAGAAGTTAAGAAAATGCCCTACAGACATGGCCACAGACCTGTCCAATGGAGGAAATGCCTCTTCCCAGGTGTGTCATGTTGACAGATGAAGCTATTCCAGCACACTAGTCTCATGGAACCAAGGGGGACGAGGTACCTGATCTAGAGTGACGGCAGTACTGTCTACACATCCTGACCTGCCCATTTAAATCCAGGACACACAAAAAGAGGGTGTGGACAAGGATAGTGAGCGGACCTCCACCCTGGGTAGTAGAGAGTTCACCATCTGTGTGCTGGTTTGGGGTAATAAGGTAGGTAAAGTGTGGCCAGTATCACAAGAGCCCTATGCAACTATGAGAAGCACTGGTTTCAGTGGGTACACTTGAAGCCTTTACAGGGCAGATGCCTGCTCTGTCCCATCCCTGATTTATTTGCCTCCCTGTTGAGAGGCTCAGGTGGCTGGTTGAATGCCTAACATGGGGGAAAAGCAAAGCACTTGATAGATGCTTAAGTTCTGGTCCTCCAGCGAAGTCCCCTATGGGGCAGGAATATAAGTGTCATGAAATTAGACCACTGTTCACATTTATTGAGCACTTAGGTGCTGGGCATTTTTTTAACCTCTTTACATAAAAACTAGTCCTTGAGCTGGATGTGGTGGTGCACGCCTTTAATCCCAGCACTTGGGAGACAGAGGCAGGTGAATCTCTGAGTTCAAAGCCAGCCTGGTCTACATAATGAGTTGCAGGACAGCTGGGGCTACAGGGAGACCAAAAAAAAAAAAAAAAAAAAAAAAAAAAAAAAAAAATTAGTCTTAGCTAGGTGTGGTGATGCATGCCCTTAATTCCAGTACTCCAGAGGCAGAGGCAGGCAGATTTCTGTGAGATCAAGACCAGCCTGAGTTCCAGGTCAGCTGGAGCTACATGGAAACCTTGTCTCAAAAAAAGTAAAACTAGTCCTCAGTCAACCAAGTGGTCTGCTTCACCCTGTTTTATATAGGAGATGTGGGAAGACTGCCACGAGCAATGAGGTAATGTGACAGGATGTGAACCCAGACCATCTTTTTTTCTTTTGTTTTTTGAGACACTGTTTCTGGACTGGACTGGAACTAGCCCAGTCTGGCCTCACTCATTTCACTCATCTTGTTTCAGCCACCTGAGTGCTGGGATTAGAGGTGTGTTACCATGCTCAGTCTAAACCTAAGACCACCCTGTCTTAGAACCCACTCACTTGACCTGGGGTACAGTTAGGTACCTTATGTCAAGGGCCTTATCCCCAGAAGTATGGTCTCTGTTCCAGGGCCTGTTAAGGAGCTTGACAGACTTGGTAACCTAGACCACTGGGCTGGAGTCCACATTGTTTTGAGTCAGGGTCTTATTTAGTCCAGGCTGGCTTCAAATTTCCTAAGCAACTTTAGCTGGCCTTGAACTCCTGATCTTCTGGGACCTTAGGCAGTGCATACCACCATGCTCAGTAACATTTTGAGGTGACTTTGCAAGAAGGCATGCTTCCCCATCTCTCTCTCTCTCTCTCTCTCTCTCTCTCTCTGTGTGTGTGTGTGTGTGTTGCTGTAGTGCACATGTGGAGGTCAGAGGACAACTTGAGGGCATTGTCCTACCATGTGGGTTCTGGGGCTGAAACTTGGGTTGTCAGGCTTGGTAATGGCCCTTTTTAATTTTAAAAAGATTGCTTTGTAATCTAGATGTTCTGGAACTCACTATGTTACTAGGCTTGAATTCAGAATGATCCGTCTGCCTCACTGCCTCAGCCTCCTAAAAGCTAGTATTTCTACTGCTGAGCCAGCACCCCAGGCTCCACAGACACTGTTTGCAACACAAATTAGCTTCTTGCCTGCTTCACCTGTCCTGCATTGAAAGCCTGCTCTGGAGGTGCCAAGAAGGAAGGAGGTGGCCAGGCGGGGTGCAGAACCCCTTTAATCCCAGTGCTCTTGAGGCAGAGGAGGGCGATCTTAGTTCTAGGCCAGCCTGGTATACATAGCCCCATTCCAAACCTGCTGGGGCTACATAGACCTTGTTTGATAAAAAGCTAAAAAGGAAGAAGTTGACTTGTCTCAACTTAGACATAACACAAGGCAGTAATGCTACATACCCAATTAGTCTGGCCTGTCCTCTCTCCAGTTAAATTCCTTATGGTCACTCAGCTACTTGGCTACCTAACTGGTCTCATCACCACATGGTATCCTGCATTGGTTGGACATGAACTTTACTCAACCTTGCACTGGCATTCCTAGCTACTGATCAAGAAGAAGCTTTTTAGTATAAAATTGAAGGTTCTGCAGCCTACCTCACTATGTGTCTCCTAAGTTGTGCTGCTGTCACATTCTGTTTCCTGTCCTGAATAAGCTCCTCTTGGCATTTTGCTATTTTGGCTGTAACCCCCTTCTGAGAGCTTCCTGCATTTATTTAATTAAAAAAAATTTGTGTGTATGTGTGCATGCATGCCATAGCATGTATATGGAGTCAGAGGACTTGTGGGAGTCAGTTCCCTCCTGCAACTGTGAGTTCCAGTAATCTAACTCAGGTAGGTCATCAGACTTGACTACAAATGTCTTTGCTGCTGAAGCATCTTGCCTGTCTTCGTTTCTTTAAGTGAGCAAATAAATAATGCGCACCTATTATCTAGGCAGTTTTAATACTTTGGATACATCAATGAACAGGACGTGTTGGCTCTACTTCTGTAAAAATCTGGTTTCTTCCTCCATTGCACCTTTGCACAACCTTTCCCTAGACTAGCACGTTATACCATTCTGCCTTTTAGAGTTTGCACTCCCAAAATAACTGACAGCCTTCATGTGCAAAAAAATTCACGACAGGGTTTCACTATGTAGCCCAGACAGGCCTTGAACTTGCAATTCTGCCTCAGCCTCCCAAGTGTTGAGATTGTAGACAGGTACCACACACCCAGATCAATATAAAAAAAATTTTTTTCTCCTTGGTAATGCTAGAGATTTAACGCAGGGCTTTCCTCATGCTAGACAAGTGCTCTACCATTGAGCTACATCCCTGGCTTCTGTGTGCAAAATTTATAGGAAGAGGCAAAGATAAATAAGATGATCTTACTTGAGCTTAGAGACTGTTAAGGGAATCTAATGCAAGGTAGTAAAGGAGATTATATAATTGTGTGTATGTGTATTCCCCTACCCCCACCCAACACTGAGGATTGAACCTAGGGCCTTATGCCCTACCTGTGAGCTATATAAACAACCCTTTTTTGTTTGTATTGTTTTGTTGAAACATGGCGTCACCTTATAACTTATGTAGTTGGGAACTCACCACATAGGCCAGATGGTCTTGAACTCATGGTAATTCTTCTGTCTTACCCTCCTAAGTGCTGAGATTACAGCCATGACCCACTAATTGGCTATCTTTTGAGACAGTCTCACTAGCCTTGGCTGCCTGGAACTCCCTATGTAGACCAGGCTGTCCTTATACAGAGATCCACTTGCCTCTGCCTCCCAAGTGCTGAGATTAAAGGCATGTGCCACCATGCCTGGCTGATTCTAGTTCTTCATAAAACATATTGTTCTGAACAGTCACTTTAATTCATGTGTGTGTGTGTGTGTGTGTGTGTGTGTGTGTGTGTACGTGTGTACATGTGTATATGTGAGTACAGTGCCCACGAGTCCAGGAGGGTGTCACATCCCCTTGGAGCCAGTTAAAGGTGGTTGAACTCTTAACCACCAAGCCATCTCTCCAGACCCATTCCTTTATTTATTTTTTTTGAGACACGGTCTCCTCATTGCCCCAGCTGGCTATGTAAACCAGGCTGGCCTTGATCTCACAGAGATCTGCCTGCCTCTGCCTTGCAGTGCTGGGATTAAAGGCATGCACCACCATGCCCAGTTCCGTAACTCATTTAAAAAATTTTATTCACTATTACTATGTGTGTATGATTTGTGGGCACATGTGCCATGGTGGATGCCATGTGGTGTGTGTGTGTGTGTGTGTGTATGTAGGTCAGAGGACAGCTATGTGAGGTGAGTTCCTTCCTACCTTTATATGGGTTCTAGGGACTAAACTGAACAAAACTTTCCAGAAAAAAACCAGCATCTTGAACTGATTAAGGCTGACCAACTGATTAGAACTTATGATTGTGGAGAGTTTGAAATGTTGCAGACCCAGATCCTTTTTACAAATTATCTTGAGACCTCTTTAGCCCTAAATAGCCATTCTTTGCCCACCTTTGTTTCTGATTTAACATTCTGTAACTAACAAAACCTTCTGGAATGTATTAACAAAGACCTAGCTCCCACCAATTAAAAGGCTGCGTGTCATCAGAAAGCATCTGAGGCCTATAGCTGAGACTTCTCTTTTGCTTTAACTGCCTACTTAATGTTTCCACCAATGTATTTGAGAATTGTCTTGATTTATAACTGTTCTTTGTTCTGTTACTATAAAAACTTCATGAAACTGCTTCCACATTGGAACATGGAATTTGGCATAACCTGAATCTGTGTTCCCAGGTCATGGTCATTCATATTTGGCTCCAGAATAAACTCTCTTGTCTCCTTTGAGGAGAGAGTTGTGCTTTTGCATTAACAGAACTCAGATTGTCAGGCTTGCGTCATTTTGTGCTGAAAGTGTCTTTATCCACTGAGTCATTTCACCAACCCCAGAACTAGTTTTTAAAAAATTCTTGTAAAATTTATTTTCTGTGTATGAGTGTTATGCCCACATGTGTGTAAGTGCACCCATATTGTGCAATGCCCTCAGGGGACAGAAGAAGGTGTTGTCCCCCC